CAAAGCAAGGAGGGAAGACAAACTAACTTACTGAGAACTAAACGACTTTTGGAAGAGGACCTTCTCCCGTCTAGGAGGACCCTCAAAGAGAATCTGATGAAGCTGGCCCGTCATACTCCCTGGGTGACGAAGCAGCGAGAAGCTTAACCTCACAATAGCAAACAACAGCATAGCATTGAAAACGATATTACTTACTTACATACTTAGTCCCAAGCGCTCATTTGAGGTTTTGCTATGAGTTACAGCTGCTCAATGTTGACTATTTAATGTGGATGGATTGCGGATGTCCAGTAGTAAACTTCTTTTGGAATAGAGAATATCTTTCGGAGCGCATTGATCTGTCCTTTCATACTAAATTGCTGGCCTTGACCTTTAGTATTTCAAGAGTGAACAAAAGGCTTCTCTCCCTTATATGTAAGAAAGGCATTCTTGGGGCCGAGTCAGACAAGTAAACGCCCTGAAATTCCTACAGTATTTGGGAGTTCGAAAGCAAAGATATTAGGCAAAAAACAAACAGAACAAACAAGCAGAGTAGAAAGGAAAAGAACCATTGTATAGAAAAAAGTGTAAGATTACACGATACTTCTATACCTTGTGCAAGAAAGCGAAAGTGAGAATTGAGCATTTGCGAGCGGTGCATGACATTTCGGCAGCTGAACCCTAGACAAATAGTCATTATTAGCGCCCTACCCAAACAAAAGAAGAAAATGGGGAAAATCATATAAGCAGCACATAGATATAATATATGAGTAAACAACACGGAATTGCTTCCCTTTCTTTGGCTTGAAAACTCACTCTTATTACTTATGAGCTTGCTTCTTCAGCCGTTACGCATTAGGCTTAATTACTTGTGCGTTAGCGAGCTCTTTCGCACTTAAGCAAACTAACGGAAGCCCCTGCTTGTTCTTAACGACAACTAGTATTTGTTATCAATGAAGCTAGTGCCACGGATGGAGGTACAGGTACCTAACAAACTGCATTTACACTAACTCGCTAACTTCTTGCCAGGTGCGTTCCAAAAGAGTAATATCACAGCTTCTCGATTAGTGACAAAAGCGTTAGTTGCTTTTTGACTTGTTTGAATGGAATTGAACTAACTTCATATAGAAGTGTACAGTAAACTCACTTATGGAATGGAATCTATACCTCCCTTTACTCCTGACAAGAAGAACTCTGCTAGGCAGCTCGAAACACCAATAGGTGCCTTAGTGTTCGGAACCGTTATCTACCACTTGCTTGCTTACGCTCTTGCTTGTTTGTTCCGTTATTTGTTTATGAATTCATTTAGTGCACATATTTGAGTAGATCAATCCGATCGCCGTTACACGTGGTGGAAGAGTCTGTTTTTGAAAGGAGCCATGCGTGCTCAAAGACGTCAGTGGTATTTCGATGCGCCTATATGTCCTTATCTGGTTGGTGATATTTCGGTGCATATGCCTATGTCCTTATGATCGAGTTGTATATAGAGTTGTATATAGGGTTCCTTATACTCCGAAACTAGAATTGGAAGAAAGTAACCTAACTCTGAAACTCACAGCTTTGCTTCAAAAGGGCTTACTGCCCGGCGCACAAGGTAACCATAAATAGCTTGTTAACTTACCTCCCCCCTCCCCTTTCATAGACTGACTCCTGACTCTCAACTTGACGAAGTTACTTGCCTTACAGCCGAACTCAACTCCTACCGCTAAAGTGAGTTCCTTTGACGCTCTAAAGCTAATAATAAGTGAATTAGTGCTACATAAGGAAGGGTTAAGGCGGAAGAAGGCCTATTTCTCGTCGCCAACACAATACATCTTATTATACTATTATTACCTAGATCTATACTTCACTCTATTCCACTAGACTCTATTCCCTTTTCTTTGTAAGTGGAATTCCATCCATTCTCATTTCCTACTCCCCAACACAGGACTATGTCTACTACTACTGATTCCACTGGACTACTCTACTACTTTGAACCTTCCTACAAGTCCTTCCTCTTCCTGTGTTCAAGCTTAAGGCTGCTCCTGTTATGAGCAAGTCAAGTTATCCCGATGGAAGGCTAATCCTAATTGACTCGTTTGGAGGAGATGGCTAATTACCTATGGGTTAAAGGTTAACACTTAGGATCAAAAGACGTCTTTGGCTCTTCCACTCTAATCGCTTACTACTTTATTGACTTGGCTCTTCCACTCTAATCGCTTACTACTTTGTATACCGCTTATGAAACTAAACTCGATTGAAAACAAGAAAAACTCTCCCTTACGTCCCTACTCTCCTTTTGTCTTTATCCCTTGATTTGATGTAAATATTACCCTAAAACCTCTAACGCTTTCGCTCTTTACGGGTCAAGTATGATTTTCCTCCCCCTTTTCCAGACACACACAGAAGTGGAGTTCCGGCCCCCGATACTTCATAATAAGAAAGGTATACTTTACCGGATGAATAATGAGCCATGGGTATGATTGGGGAACAAAGGCTTTTTGCATCACAGTTGTAACCGAAGTAGATAAAGAATACCTCCGCCAGAAGGGAAAGAAGGAAGAGTGAAACCTAACCTACCGTCTCTATTGTCTACCCTCAGAACATTGAAACTCACCCGAGGTATTTAGAATCTCTTTAGGTTCCTTTGCTACCCGGATTCCTTTTGTAGAAACCATTCCCCACATCATCTGCTTTTTGCATCAGCTTTTCTTATCTTCAAGCTTGACCGTGGTATGGCAAATGACATCATTCTCTTGTGCGCCTTCTTATTCTTTGTAAGTGGATATGAAAAGAGGGCCTTTGCTAATCTATAGACATGTGGACTATGCTTTCGATCCACACTTGCGATTTAGGCTAGGCCTATTCCCTTTGTCTCTAAGGTTTGCAGGAAGAATGGCTAATAGCCCACTTGTTTAGTGCTGGTATCACGCTATATACGATTGTCATCTAAGTCAAAAGTAGAGTAATCAAACTAGCGGCCCAGAAACAAACCAAGTACTATGAATCAAATGTGGGTACGGGCAAGAGAGGAGACATTAGACACTGACGAGCCTCGCCCAAGCTGTAAGTTCCGTGCAAACTCTTTGCTTTAAGTGCAGTTCCAACTCTTTGCTGTAAGTGCAGTTCACTCTTTCAGATAGATGGTATTCCGGGGATGAAGTCAGGCCTATGCTTTAGATGGCTCCCAGTATAGTATCATATGAAAATAGATCCAAATCTCTCTAGAAATAAAGATCTCCATCTCCATATATATCTATCTCTATAAATCAAGATCTCCATATATCTATCCAATATATCTATCAATATATCTCTTTCTCATTATGGATATTGATTATCTTATTTATATTTGATATTTCTTTATCTGGATATATGCAAGACCCAAGCAAGCATAAACCTCGAGAGAACCTGAGACTACTCCTTACTTACGCGCAAGAATAGATTATAGAAGAGAAGGAGGCTCTATAATAGATGCGGATATCCAGTTGTGCTTGCTTCCTCCCCACTAACTTGCCGAGTCATAGGCTCTGTGCAAGAGAGAGTGCTTTTACTTCTTCCTTTGCTTTCTTTTTGGATTTCGCCTTAGCGCTTTCTTAGGTGGTCTTTCATGATTGGCTTAGTCAATCCCGTTCACTTCCCTCTTGCTTTCCCTGTGCCGGTCGGGTCCCGGTCCAGCTCTTGCCCAACCCACCACTTCCAATCTCTCAGGAAAGGTTTAGTCATACTATATCCATACAATACTCTTCCTTTTCTTTTCTCGGTGGTTTACATTCTCTTTCCTAATAATCAATCAATATTAGATGATTATGATATGGCAAAATCTTGATCTTTCTTGGATATGGGCACCTACCCGGACTTAGGCTCTCATCAATCTCAATCCAGGAACTCTTGCAAAAGGACGGCTAAGCACAAGAACGCGCTTTACCTTCCTACAATGAAGGCACGGGGAAATATACCTAAGACTAGACCGGGAAGCAGACTAAGAGCGGTCATATCGAATAAGAACAAGTCGAGCTGAAGAACGAAAGCAAGAAAAGTGAAGTTATTGCTACTATGATTTTAGGATCCAAAAAGACATGAGAGCTAGCTTCTGTGATGATGAGAACGAATTCGAATTCAGGCCTTATAAAGAAAGAGGTTGGCGGAGGGAATATAGGAAGGCTTTCTTCTCGCTGCATTTCAACGTTACAGGCGGGACCACTGAGAATAGTCAGAACCCTTACCTCGCTCGGATAGATAAAGAATAGTCAATATACAGCTCGGATAGATAAATAATAGTCAATATACAGCTCGGATAGATAAATAATAGTCCAATTACAATAGAATGGAATAAGGATTCTTATTAGAATGGAATAAGGATTCTGATTGTGTGATAGAAAGGGCTTGGGCAAAGGCTTTGGCGTAGTCAGGTTCGCTTCACTTGCCGAATGCCTTCTTTTAACTCCTAGACACCATATCAAGTTGACATTGGGACAGCCCCACTATCTATACTTTCAAGAAAATAAGGGAATAGAGCTGACCACTGCTTTTTCTTTAGATTCCACCCTCTGACTTATGTTGTGGCCAGGTGGACTCGAGCTTATTCCTTCTTTTTGAGCTTATTCCTGCTTTTGTTATCGGCGATCGAAAGCGGAATCGGCCAAGATAGAGAATTCTCACTATGGGTGTACTACGGGACTTCCAATGCATTCAATCATTGGATTGAAAGAGAGTCATAAAACGGAATAGATTGAATTCAATATTGAGCCAGCCTATAGAAGAATATGCTTATAGAGCCTATAGAGGAATATGCTTATAGAGCCTATAGAGGAATATGCTTATAGATAATTCACCAATAAAAACAGCTGCTGCAGCCTATAGTCGATTATAGCTAGTTCACCAATCCAAACTGCAGAGCCCAGCCCATAGGAATATGCTTATAGATAGTTAACCAATAAAAACAGCAAGCAGAGCCTATTCTCCAGAAAGACAGGCAGAGAGCCGATTCTCCTTTGAATTGATAATACGGATTGGCGCGCCGTTGCTTGGCCCTTGAAGATTCTGAAAAACAAGTAGAACCTTTATAAGCACCGTAAACTGACATTGGACGAAGAACCCCCTCTATGCGGGCCAACACCCTACTATATTGATTGAGGAAAACGGACGGTACAGAGGCACGGGAGCAGTATGGGCTTGCTACACCAATACATCGAAAACTAGTAAGCTTAATAGCTCGCTGCTCGAGCGCTCTTGCACCGAAGATGGCTAAGCGATCTGCCCGTGGGACGATATTGAAACACTTGTTCTTGCGCCCCGCCCTTTAAGATAAGCCGATCAGATCAAACCGACGAGGCATCTTCCATTCATTTCGATGAAGGTCTTTCAGCACCATATTTGGATCTGCCCCTTCTGCGATCCGGAATTCCCAGCAAATCCTTGACTCCTCGAATACAATGGGATTTCACACCTGGCGAATCTTTCACTCTACCTCCTCTTACTAAGACTATAGGATGTTCCTGCGAATTATGACCTTCGCCTGGAATGTGAGCAAATATATGTTGTTGATTGCTCAACCGTACTTTGGCTATCTTACGTAGAGCTGAATTGGGTTTTTTCGGTGTTCTCGTAAGAACACGCAGGCATATTCCTTGCTTCTGGGGACATTGATCCGAAGCTCGAGTACGGTTCGTGCGCCGTTTTTCTTCTCTACCATGACGAATCAATTGATTGAATGTAGGCATCCCTATTTCCTATGTCCTTCCCCCATTTGCCCTATCACTAGTAGTTACTCCCGATCCGAAGCACCCCTTTTCCATTCATAGATAGATCCAATCGTCAAAATCCATAAAAACGCCATCATCGACCAAAATCCAAACAGATCAATCTTGTTGGGAGGTACTGCCCAAGGAGAAGAAAAGGTCACTTCCAGATCAAGGATAATAAATAAAATAGAGACCAGATAAAATCGTATATCGAAACGACTTCTGGCATCACCAGAGGGATCGGAACCACATTCATGGGCCGACAACTTTTCTGGATAGGTGGAACTATTAGAAGCAAATGGAAAAGGAACACCGAGTGAGATCAAAGAAACTAGCAGACTCATCACCAAATAGATACAAATAGGTTCAAATTCCGACATCACCAAAGCCCACTTTGTTCTCTCGCTCTGCTCGCGGCGCTCCTTGCTCGCGGAGCGGCATACCAAAAAAACCGAATAATACACTCCACTAATATAATGATATGTGTTTTAGCCTAGAGAAGGCGATACGATCCAACTATTTGAGAAAGAGAGAGACTTTACCATACGAGAAAAGACCTGCCTTGTACGGGTCTGATGATGAGGCGGTACGGGCATCGACATTCTATACTCATACTCTTTTGATCCGATATCCTCTAATCTAATAGGATAAAGAAACCGACGAGACTTATTGACTGTTATCGGGTGAGCTCACTGTTGCGCTAACATTCTGATTCTGCAGGGCGGCACCTACGTAGCGGTAGCTTTCCAATGTTGCCTTGCGTTAGCACTGCCGTGTTGTTTGATTCTGAGTTGGAATAGTCAACTATGCAATCCTAAGCGCTATTTCAAGTAGAAACATTGTATGTGCTTTTGTCGGGACGACCTATTTATGGATTTCTTACGGAAGAGAACTGAACGGGGCCTTAATCACCTGCAGAAGCACTCATATCACTTTTGTTAGCCCTAGAGGGAATATCTATTATACCTTTGAAGTTAGCCATCTCACTCACCCACAGAGCAGTAAGGGCTAGGCGCCGGGGAGAGGGCTCTTTCTCAATCACACCATTAATGTGATCGACCTCTTACCTATCTTTAAATGAATAAGAAGCACTTCGCCCGAAAGCTATGAAAGAGGGTATTCAATAGTCAATCTATTATAGGAATACAGCAGGGAATAATCAATGCTCGCCAAGGAGGGAATAATCCATTCTATTATTAGGTTAAGGAGGGAATGGAATAAATAAGTACAAACGTATAGGGTTCGTCTGGTGGAATAAATAAGTACTAACCGTCGTCTAGGGATCGTCTGCCTCTAAAGAAGGAATGGGACTACTAGTTGTGCTAACTTAGTTTTGAGTCTCTTTGTGAGTTTGCTTGTTTGTTCCTATTCTTTCTGTCCTTTCGTTGTCACCTCGCTGCTTGTTTAATTGAGTATCGGCCAGTTCAGTTGTCGACTCGAATTGCCTTATGGTTTTCGCTTCTGATGCGCGATGCAGAAGTCCAATATAGATTGTTTTCTTATCCAAGAAGGAGGATGCCGGTGGGAAAAAGAATGTTTATGGTTCCGGCTCGATTCGAGTAACGCTTAATGAAGTAGAAAGTGACCACGACACAGATCTATTACAGCTAGAGAGATTATTCTATGCAAGTTATATTCTTTGAGTGCATCTTTCGGCGTTAACTTACTTATACTATAGCGCTTTAGTGAGTTCGAACTTCCTAGCAATACCCTTTTATTGATACTGAAAAGCTTCTTCTCGAGTCGATAACACGGGCTAAGGGAAATCCAGTATACCCCTTATACGACAACACAAACAACTGAAAGATACTCAGGACACACAATATGGAAATTCTCCACTGTAAACTGTACCCGTACTGTCTTATTCTTGAAAGTCAACAAATCATTCCACTACTACTGTAACACCAGATTCACCTCTCTCACAGCACAGACAAAAGGAGTTGAGTTCGCCAGCTCGTTGATAAAAGAAGGTAATCAGTAATCAGAGTCAGAGATAGATGAAACAATGAATTCCACTGCCCTTAAGTAATTGGTTGCGCGACAGTCACAAACACCCTTAAGACTGAACTGCTTACCTTGATGGTTCAGCTACTTCTGATTCTAAAGAAGAGAGAGAGTAGATAGGCCTCTATAATAAGTTGCAGAGTCAAGTACTGGCGAGGAAGCTAAGCTATAAGTACTGAAAGTCCAGAATTGCTATCAGCCAAGTCACTAAGGTATTAATTCTACGCAGCTATGTGTTTAAACATTCTCTTAGTGATTTATTAGTATTTGCTTCTATCTGAGGGTAGTTTCTATTCTCTTATGCCCCAGTTCCATTCCTGTTAGCCCGGTTTCTGTCCTTAGAGTCACTAATGGAATTCCAAGTTGAGAGTTGTTCTCTTATTAGTATAGTAGTCGGCGCGTTAAGAGCTATAGTATTGTTATCACCAGTTAGATTCTATTCCTGTATGCAATAGATCGTACTACCAATATAAGTAAATAACATATTCTCAATATAAGTAAATAAGCAGCAATAGCAATAAAGAAAGGAATAAGAGACATGGCAGTGAAAGTAAAGGGAGGCGGAGTGAAACTGGAGAATCCAGAGGAGAAGTAAGAGTTCGGTGACCCAGCTACAAGTCGAGTTGGTGCTCTAAGAATCAAAGGTATAGCTGATGGTCCGTTAGTCGATACAGATAACTAGGTTAGTTTGGGTAGTGACTACTGTAATACGTAGGCTAGGGAGCAAAGGAAAGTCAGGCTTATATTGGCAATAAGTAATTCAAGTTAGGGGCATAGCTAGGGGGAATAGACGGAATTGCTGGATAGTAAGAGTGATAACCAGTAAGGGCAAACCTAGAACGGAGACAAAGAATGATAGGTATAGTTGGGGATACACTACCGAAAAGAGTGTAGCTAACGTAACGTTAATAGTAACTTGGCCATTAGCTGTTGCTTGGTGGATCGGTATGCCAAGATGAAAGGTACGTTCGAGCTTAGGTCTCCGGTTCACGATCAAACGGATTCAGCTCCCTTAGCGCCCAGCAGCAAGTAGTTATGAAAATAGAGTGCTAGTTTCATGTTGCAAAGAAAGTATAGTCGACAAGATAGATCTGGATAAAGATCAATTGCTAGGATAAAGAGAAATATCATCTGCTTATGAATGGGGTATATAAATCTCCTGTTCCGGGGTTCCAGTTTCATCCTATTCAGATGCTGTAGAAAGAAAGTAAGTCAGCTGCATAGGCAGTTTCAAGGAATAGTAGAAATCGAAAGTAAACTCAAAGTGGAAAGGCAAGTGGAGTTATTGACGTCTACGATAGAGGTGATTGACTTGCTTGTGTGTGTCTAAGTCTTCAAGTCTAGTTCGGGATGGGCCTAAGGCTTACTTCTCGGGGAACAAGTAAACAGGCAACTCAAACTCGGGGTGCCGATACGAGTGATTAAAGCTATGCTTTGGGGTCAGTGAGCAGCTCCATTCCCGCTTTATATATACTCCATTCCTGCAAGATATATATTCCATTCCAGCTTTATATATATGGATAGTCGGGTGAGAGAGATTGCATATTCGATTTGCATTCTTGGATTTGGTTTACTGCCCTACAACTCGGTTTATGAGAAGCCAGAGAAAAATCCTTATACAGCTCTGCTGACTGCTGAAGATCTTGATCCAGCTGATGATCGAGTCTACTTCTTAATATGGTGAAATTCATTCACCTAGCTATCATACTAAGGATTACCAATCCATTTCTATACAAAATAAAGGAGCTTCTTCTCGCCCAAGACCTCCTCTTTGATTCTCTCATCGCCAACTACAACAGATAAAACTAGGAGATGCAACTGAAACAAGGGTCGATTACATTGAGCTGGGCCAATCCACAACTACCCGATACAGCTTTCTCTCTTTCTTTGGCAACTGATCTAGCTCTTTCAACTCACCACTCGAGCAGTACTACTGGTCTTCTACTCTGCATCTGGTAATAAAACTTAGAATTTCACTAGTCAAGGAAAGAAATCAACCCTGCTTAATTGACTCTTACCCGGCTTCTTCTCTTGTAACTACTGATTCTCGGGTTACTATTAACTGAATTAGGCTAGGCTCCTCTCTTTCTACTATACCTCTGTCAACTAATTCTGTCATTCCTACTTCTGAGCTTGCTGTCAACAATACTTCTCTCTCCTATGTCTACAGCCAAGCGTATACTGTTCAAAGAGCCAACTACTCATATACTAGGAGAAACTCCGTACTTACAGCAATGTACTTAAGGGCAAGAACAGGGCTAGCAACTAAAGATGAGCCTCATTCAGCAAGTAAGAAGAGCAGGCTACTACTATAAGGGCACAGGCAACGCAGAAATAGGCTACTATAAGAATAAGACAAGTCAGTATTAGAATAGAGCAGTTCGAGGTCAAGTCTCAAGTGTAGTTCCACACAGTTCTCAAGTAAGCTGTTGCTATAAGTGCATCTGGCCCGGAGTGAAAGGAGTTAGGAGTCCGGGACAAGCTACGACTACCACTACTACTCATAAGAATAATGGATACTAAAGAGAAGAGCCAGAGGGTAAAGATGTTAGGCTTAAATGCATTTCTACAGCCGAGAAGTAGATTGAATAGGGCAATTTGCCATCAAACGAAATAACCAAGACACGGATAACCAAGCAACTGCTAATGGCCAAACGCCTGCTAAAAAAGCAGGACTCGTTAATAGATGAGTTATAACTCGTTAAGAGCAATTCCTTTATTCAGGGCGGCAGAGAGTTAGGCTAACGTTGCGCGTCAGGAGTGTTCGAGCCTTTAGTCGACCTATCCTCTGGGTCTCCCAGCTTTTACTTACTATACGAGAACGGATTCCACTTCTTTCCTCTTTACTACTATTGTAGCTTGGCCTAACAACTAGTGAGTTTTACCTAGACAATTAGTTCATTTGAAACAAGGGATTCCACCACTGGGGATGAAACTAGAAAAGAACTGGCCTCTCCTTATGCCCTATAAGTATGCTGCTTCCCTTGCAGACCTCGCCTCAAAGCCAGTACCTTAGATAGCTCCTGCTGATTCTGTTGAAACGCACCCAGTCACTAAAACCCGGCAAAAAGGCTGTTTTGTATACTAGCTACTAAGCTTGGCCCGGAGTCCTGTCTTCATGGTGGCAGGCAGGAGCGGTTCCACCCTTTGTTTACTGGCAAGTAAGGGCTTTTGGGGGTTACTGAGCTCTATTCTGATTAATTAAGAGGATTCATATTCTTTATTCGATGCTGGTTTATTAGAAGCTGTAGTACCGGCTTGGAAGCAAGTCAAGTCAGATGAATATTCCTTAAGTAGGGCAAGGGCCGGATCAGTAAACTTTGTATTAGTTCCCCCCGAGCTAAGGTCTTATCGGTATAAGTTGAATAGCAGTAGACAAAGTCTTAGTTGTGAGCTATAGCCTTCAAGAGCGGACCGCGTATGAGAAGCACTAGTATAAGTATGAGTTCAACGCTAAGGTATTAGCTAAGGTATTATTTGTATAGTAGCCACAAGCTCCTAGGCACATTAGTAACAATCAAAGCCAGGATCGGTAGCACTACGGACAGATCTACGACACAAGAGAGGTCGCCTTGGAGACAATAGTGGAATTCTTTGACTAATGAGTTTGATTCTGAGTCCTCTCCCCCCGGTTTCATTCTAATATTGACTACTGAGCAGCTTTATCATCTACTTATCCTATGTAAACTGACACTCGGTATTCCACTGGCAGCTGTCAACTAAGTCAGTAATTCCCACTTTCCTACTAGCTCATCTAGCCTACCAGCTCTACTCTTTGACCACCCGGTTTCAGCCTTGGACTTACTGCTTGCATTCTTACTAGCTACATACCAATACCAAAGCGAGGGCCAATCCACTACTACAGTAGCCTAGTAACTGACTTCATAACTGGTAGTGGGATTCATAACCACTAACTTCCTTCATAACTAGTAACTGACTAGTAACTCATAACTAGTAATTGACTCATAACTTCTAACTCATAACTAGAAACTCCTATTTCACTCCTAACTCTGTCAACAGCCAAGCTACTTACAGTTTCGTTCTTGTGAGCAATAGTCTCTTTTTACCCTGGCTCATCTAATTCTCCGTAGTAAACAAATACTTCCTCTCCTCTTTCATTCCAGTTTCTTTCTTTCCTCTCCTCTTTT